CGGCCACGTCTGACGCGTAAGATCTACGGCATAAGAAAACCCAACGGTTGTTGGGTTGGGTGGGAGGTGGTTGGAGTTGAGACAACAAAACAAAAAACAGGACAAAAATATGGATGCGCAAGAAAGCAGAGAGATAGAGGAGGGGAGGGTTGTCTGCTGACACAGCTAACCCAGTCTCTTCCCTTCGCTGCTAAATGGACTTTATCCCAACACTAAGGCTGCTCCTGAGGTCGAGGATGTGACCCTGGGGACACCAGCTGTCTGTGGAGCTACGACAAGTTAAAGGCTTATCACCCCAACCCGGCTGCAGGCAATGTGTTCCCCCAAAGATGGACAGAAGAGAAAAGCAAAGGAGTGCTGGTGAGCTAAACGTGTAATAGGTAAAACCTGCCTATTATCTGGGGACAGTGATCCTTCCGATGACGCCATGTGATAGGGGGATGGTGAGAACCTGTTATCGGGTCGGAACTCTTTATCATACGCCATCATGTTCCACTCCAGGCGCCGGTTGCGGGCTTTCCTCACTTTCTTCACCTCCCGCGTGGAGTCTTCCACCAGCCGCTGCTCCTGGGGACACACGCAAGCCACGGCTCCACCTCCAGCCCAGCTCCGCCGGACAGTGAGGGGTACCCAGGGACCATCGAGATGCCCCCACCACAGCAGAGGGGATGCATCAGGAAGGTGATTGTCCCCAAGTCCCAGATAGCCCAAGCTCCAGCCCCTCCTGGTGTCCCCCATCTGCCCGTTACCTTCTGCCTGCGCTTCTCCTTTCTCTTATCTTCTGTCGCCTGCAACATCTTCTCCTTCCATAAGTTGAAGAAGTAAGAGGGGTCAGTGTAGAACTTGAGGCTATCCTTTTTGTCATCCCTGAGGGGATGGGAAGAGGGGGGAGAGGTATGAGCCAGAGGAGACTTCTCCTTCCCTTGAGCAGGTGGGTTGGGTATGATCACAGCCATAAGCTGTGACCATGAACACGTCCAAGACAATCGTCACAACCTGTGGTACCACCGTGTGGGGTCACTCATCCCAAGCACCCTACACAGTGAGGATGGTGGCACAACAACCAGAAAATACAGCTTCTCCGCCCTGACCAAGCAGTAAACAGGGTGATTCTCCTGGAAAGGCCTCCCGGACCCCCCAGGTCCCTCTCCACTCCCTCAAGGAGCGATGCGCTGGCCGTCCTACCTGTAGGGTGTGAGGATGTTGAGTGGTGGAGGCTTGTCGCAGCGCTGGTACATCTCCATCACTGGGTTGGGGATGGAGTTGCGGGACACAACCTGCTGGTTCTGCACTGTGGAGCTCTTGAAGGCTTTCCGCATGTTGATATCCTGCAGCGAAACTGGGGGCAAGGGAAGAAGATGGGTTGTAGAAGTGACCTCAACCTCCTGAACTGGGTACGGCCCCGAGCGCGCATCTCCCACCCGCTTGCATCCAGCCTCTCACCTTCCTCCACGGTAGAGTCCAGCTGCGTCACCTTGATGACCAGCAGGTCCACCCTCTCCTGCAGCGAGTTCATCCGCATGTAGAAACTGTTGGCTTCATTGAAGAGCTCGCCGAAGATGTCCTCCGCGTGCCTGCCTGGCAGAGGTTGATGCGCACCCGTCACGGGCAAGGGTGACAAGCAGGCAGCCCTCTCCCAGCCCAGCCCCTGGACCACACACCTCCCCAGCCTTGTTTTTTTGGGATCTGAGCTCCATCCCTTGGCAAAGCACTGCATGGAGGGAGGGGAGCAAAAGCCACCTTGCCCTTCTCCATGCACGAGCATCTTTTTCAGCAGAGCAGTACGCACGAGAGGCACCAAACCATGGAGGCGCTCATCCTAAAAAACTGTAGAAGCCCAGCCTTGAAGGTGGAAAAAATGAGGACTGGGCGTTGGGGAGAGTGTTCCAGCAGGCAGAAGCCGTGATTTGCTTCGCTTTAGCAGTTATTTCCCTGCAGCGCTCGGTGCGTCGCTTTTTATTGGGGCTATTATTATCCCAGGGCTGAGCAGAGCACTGCTGACACCTGCAGGCGACAGCACCCAGCCCAGCACCCCAGCTCCTTCGCATTTCCTCCAAAATCACATTACCAAACAGATCTTAAGGTCGAGGTGCTTTTGATATCTCCTCAGCCTGTCACCCAGCTCGGCTATTTGGATTTTATTTCCTTTTTTCCTGGACAGGGTAGCTGTGACCTGAGCACCCATGGGTGCTGCTCCCCCCAGCCACTGAGCTTTCAGCAACTCCCTGTGTATGGGGCTCGTTTTTCTGGGAGTGTTTTAGAGAAGAATCTAATTCTGAGCTTCTCTCTCTGTTTTAAGTGGATATTCAGCAGTGAAATATGTTGCCCTTGTTAAACCTTCACACTGGTGTGTGCAGTGCCCTCATTCTCCCTTCTTCTGGTGAAATCAGTGCCAGGGCAGGAAGAGAGTCAGGAATTTAGACCTTTTGTATAGACCTCTCTTTCACATAAAGCTCTGAGATTAAAAAGAATAGATGGTGGGGTTTTTTAATCTTCACTTGACCTTCCTATTTCTGGCCAAGTCAAGAAACAAAGACCTCATGGAGGCTTTCTGTCCCCCACCACGTAGACCAGCTACGGGAGGAACGCAGGTCTTCAAGCTGGATAATTCCCACTGAATTAGGGGTAGCTGCCCCCATTTCTCTGTGACTGGGGCCAGAGCAAGTGACCGTGGCGTCCCACCAGCATCACCCCCTCGCCCTGTCCCGTGCCGAGGTTGCTGCACCGCGACTTACTGAGACTGCCCAGCTGCTTGATGATGGCAGCCAGCGTGCTGTTGGTGACACACTCCAGCTCACTTGTCACCCCATCGGGAAGAGCCCCCCGGCACAAGTGCCGGGGCTCGATATTCCTCTTCACCAGTGGCATGTTGCCGGCGAGCCCTCACGCCTCTCCTGGGCCAAGGAGAAAGAAAAGAAGAAAAAAATAAAAAAGAAAATACTAATACTTTTGCCATTTGTTTTTTGTTGGGTTTTTTTTCCTCCCATTCCTAGGATCCTCATCCTGCCCACACCAGGATACAGTGGGTGCAACCTATGTGGCAGCAAACCTCCCCTCCACGTGCTCCAGCCCTTCAGCCGACCCTGAAAAGCCTCATCCAACCCAAACAGCAGCCAGAAGCGAGCGAGCGGCTTGTAATGCCATTATTTCCAGCTCAGTGCAAAGCTCTCCGGGGTTTTATTTGTGCATGTACTACACCCAGGCAAGCTGCCGTGGCCAGCTCGTCCCTTGCTCTCTGCAGCATCCCTGCATGGCCTCCCTCCACACACCCAGCATCCCTGCCTGGTCCCTGTTCCTCCAGTGCCGCCCTCGCCTCAACTGGGGACAGTTCGTTTTCTGTGGGTCTCAAGGACATGCAGGGAGATGCTCACACCCAATGGCCTCATCTCCAGTGAGAGATTGGAGCTGGCAAAGAAGGCAGAAGGGTGGGCATGGTGGAGTCAAACAGGCTGAGGAAAAAAAATAATTGTTTATTAACCACGGTGGTGTCTTCTAGGGTGTCACAGCCTGGGAGTGGGGCACAGACAGGCAGAAAGGAGGTTTGCACAGGTTTGCACAATGGGTCTTGTGGGACACGAGTGCATTTGGGCCTCAGCTCTGCTCCCCAGCGCAAAGGCAAACTGATGGCTTTAGCATGGAAATTGCCACAAATTGGATCCCAGGATGGTAAGGACCCAAAAACGTGAACAGCCTTCACAGACCCCAAACGTAATGAGCTGAATTCCCCCCATTTCTCATCCTGGGCACCCCCCATCCACCCCATCTTTCACAAAGCCCTGTTCTGCTCTCACAGCGAAGGAAATGCAGCTTCCGAGCAGAGCTGTTAATGGCTGGGAGCGGAGCAGCCGGGCACCGACAACGGAGCCAGCAATTCTGACCGTGAAGAGAGCCAGAAATCTGCAGAGTTCACATTTTTTGGCCCCGGGAGCGTTAGACTGAACAGTTTCCCATTGATAGCACCCGGTCAGTGCTCTTGTCCCCTCCGCCAGCTCCTCCGCAGTTTTCAAATGCAAATGCAAACTCCCTCCATGAGAGAGACTGAAACTTGTTTTCTTAGATCATTCATATCGAGCTTCCCAAAGGGCTGATTGTGCTCCCAGATCTGTACATACAGGAAGGGGCATGGCTGGGGTCGCTCTGCCCCGGGGCAATCGGGGCGCCATGGGAAGGGTCCCAGCCCCGGACCCTCCCTGGGGTTGCGCGATGCTTCAGGCTCAGAGCAAACTGTGCATCCTCTGGTGCTTCCCAAAACCACCAAACATGGACAGTGGGGCTGGGACTCTCCCCAGCTCCCAAAAAACACCAAGAAGCTTCTGCCAGATGGTCATTTTTTGGCTGAGAACACCATGACAAAGTTGGCGGCGATGTCTGCAGATGGAGGTCAGCTGCCCCCTCATCCTTTTCGGGCACTCCCTGAACCTCCCTCCCAGGGCTACGTAAAGAGATGAGCAACGCTAGCAGGTTCACCTCGAGCTTGCTTTGAGATGGTTTGATGCCTCACCGCCCCCAAATCTGCACTCAGAGGCTGAGCCTCAGCCTCCCCAGCCATTAACAAGCTGCTTAGGCCCAGCAATTAGAACGAGGGAACAAAGAGCCATTCTCAGCATCTGACTGGGACATGGCCACCGGCACCCTGGGGCTTTTTGTCCCCGCAGAGGGGGCTCAGGAGGAGGAGGAATCAGGGCCACTCGTGCCTCCATCCCATCCATGGGGACCACAGAAGGGAATGAATTAAAAAAAAATAAATTTGAGGTCTGGAACTCTTCCTGGCAGAGACAGACCTGAAGCGGGGCAGAAGGTGGGTATGAGGTATGATGACAGCTCCTCCCATGGGGGAGCATCCCTGGGGAAGAAAAACTCCTTAAATCTCCCCCTCAAAAAGCCCTAACAAACTCAGAGCATGCAGCAAAAGAAACCAAGGAAACCCCTGCCACCCACTCCCATGACAAGCGCCATCCCAACCTTCTGCACCAGCAGCCCTCGTGTACCAGCAGCCCTCGTGTACCAGCAGCACCAAACTGCCAGCTTCTGGCTCAAAAACCCAAATTCTGACCTAAAACACATGATCTCAAGGTGCGTCCCAGCTCAGGGAACCCAACAGCCTCAGGTTGGGGTTGGGCTGTGTGCGATACCAACTTAATTTCCATCCTTGTCAGCACGTCTTGCTCACACCTACCAAGAGGCTGCACACAGTTCTTGAGCCCCAGTTCTTGGTTATGCTCAGCACTGCTCCTGCTGATATTTTGGGTAATTTCCATGCCTTTGAGAGGTGTTTTTGGCAGCAAGTCCTCAGACCTTTAGGAAAGAGCTCCCAGGAGCAGGGATTTGCTGGGTTTGGAGGTGAGTCCCTGATGCGAGAGGGAGAAGCTTGAACACAGAGTTTGGCCAAGAGCAATTAATAGTTTCTTCCACGTGTATGGCCGTGCTGGACCCCAGGTCAGTGCTCAGCACCACAGCGTGCACCTGGCTTGGCAGCAGCCCCTGTCACACTCCCAGCCGAGCATCGCCACGCCACCAGTAAACCACATTTGAGCAGCAGCAGGGCCAAATCACCACCTCCCCCTGGGTGCTATTAGTCCTTGATGGCCCTGAGCAGCTTCACCTGGGTCCCACACCCCCACCCATGGGCCTCAAGAGGTTATTTAAGCTCAGCTGAGGGGGCTAGTTCTGGCTTGAAGAAATCTGCTGGTCCCT